TTGGGCCTGGAGCTTTTCACAGGGAGCTCTGCCAAAGGAGTGTAGTAAACAGCTTCAGATTCTTAAGTGCCAACCAGCACAGGATACGATGAGGGAGATGGGGGGGATGTCACAGAGAAATGGCTGAAAGCAGATTTTGGAAGGCAGAAGGGATGAGGAAGACAAATTTTGAAAATGAATGTTTCAAAACACTAACAAAAAGGGTACAGACGGAGGGGAAAGAGGGGCTGTAACTTAGTGGTAGAGCTTATGCCTTCCATGCATACAGTCAAAATGCAATAAATAAACACCATTCCACACCCTCCAACATTTCTCCAGTGAAAATAGGGACCTCCTACTCCATAATAGATGGGACGCGGGTGGCGCTGTGGGTTAAACCACAGAGCCTAGGACTTGCCGATCAGAAGGTTGGCGGCTTGAATCCCCATGACGGGGTGAGCTCCCATTGCTCGGTCCCTGCTCCTGCCAACCCAGCAGTTAGAAAGCACATCAAAGTGCAAGTAGATAAATAGGTACCACTCCGGTGGGAAGGTAAACGGCATTTCCGTGCGCTGCTCTGGTTTGCCAGAAGCGGCTTAGTCATGCTGGCCACATGACCTGGAAGCGGTACGCCAGCTCCCTTGGCCAATAAAGCGAGATGAGCGCCGCAACCCCAGAGTTGGTCACAACTGGACCTAATAGTCAGGGGTCCCTTTACCTTTAAGGAAAAGTGGGACATTCCAGGATCAAATCAGAAACTGGGACGGCTTCTGTAAATTTAGGACTGTCCCTGGAAAATAGGGACACTGGATTGTGTCTGCCATTGTGAAGTTGAGGTCTGGAGATACAAGTTGTATCACTAAGCTCTACTCCAAGTAGGGTCATTGAAATTAATGGCTCCAAGTTGTCTGGGTCTGGACAGAGCATGGGGTTAGGGGTCCCAAAACCACAGAGGCTTCCTTCACCCTTTGTCCAAGGCTTACACCACAGGGATATTGTGATGTTGGTATGAAATTGATGAGGTGTGCAGCGTGGCTGGTGCCCAGTGGGACTGGTAGGGCAGAATGCAGAGAGGTCAATAGGTGATTGAGGTGGAGCCACAACCAATGACAGACAGAACAAACTGATTGTGTCCCCATGCACCTCCACCCAAGCGAGTTCTACAAGGACAACACCAAGACGAAGGAGGAGGAAGTTGACTAGCAGGGCCACCCTGTGGGCCAATTGTAAGTAAGAAGGCAGGCAAGTTGGGGGTGGCTGAGGTGGGTGCCCTAGTGTTACACCCTCCACTGGTGGTGCATGAAGAGCATGAGATTGTAAGTGGATCTGGTGTCACCCACTACTGAAAGGCAGCCCCAACAGTTTTACATCAGAGTAATTGGGCCCCTTAGCCCAGGCATAGGAAACCTTCAGCCCTCCAGATGTTTTAGACTACAATTCCCATCATCCCTGACCACTGGTCCTGTTAGCTAGGGATCATGGGAGTTGTAGGCCAAAACATCTGGAGGCCTGAAGGTTGCCTATGCCTGCCTTAGCCCCTCCAAACAAAATCCCTCGGAAGGTGTTGCCATCTGCTTCGTTGGAGGTTTTTAAGCAGAGGTGGGATGGCCACCTATCAGGGATGCTTAAGCTATGATTCACAGGGGGTTGGACTAGATGACCCTCAGGGTCCCTTCCAACTCTACAGTTCTTTGATTCTGTGAACATGGTTCCTTGTATGTGATCTATAGTAAGATTTTCTTTCTTTGCCACACCTCTTTTGCCAGCTCTCGGGGGAGTAGACTTTACTGGGCATTTATGCAATCATATTTATTTTTAAAGCATTGTCTGGTTTATTTTTTTTAGCATGTTGTATTGATGCTTTTGATTTTATTTTAAAAGTCTTTTAATGTTTGGTATGTAATGTTAGGTTACCATTTTATGGTTGTTAAGTTGCCTCCATTGGGTGGAAAACCAATGTCACAAATGAATTAAACTAAAATGTAGTACAATTGTCTACTCCTTTCCTCAGCAGGAATTCCCATTGTTCTCCAGGGAACTGTGCATAGAACTACAGCCTCAGGTATAGAATTTAAGATAAAAGACTTATAATATGCAACACTTTTGTTGTCAACAGCTCCCTGACAGTGGATTACATTAAACGGCCTACGTAGACATTCCTTTCTATTAGTATTACGCTATTCTATTAATACAGGGGCAACTAACATGGTTATCTCCAGATGTTTTTTGGACTACAGCTTATGCTTTTATGAGATTTGGGACAGAAAAAAGAAAGTACTTCTTCACACAGTGCATAGTCAGATGATGGAACTCTCCTACATGAGGCAGTGATGACCACCAATCTAGGAGACTTTAAAAGAGGAGAAAGGAGGCTCTTCTTAACAGCCGTCAGTCCCAGCTGTGGGAATGTTCTGGGTGGCAGGAGAGGATATACAAGTGAAACTCGGAAAATTAGAATATCGTGGAAAAGTTCATTTCAGTAATTCAACTTAAAAGGTAAAACTAATATATGAGATAGACGCATGACATGCAAAGCGAGATATGTCAAGCCTTTATTTGTTATAATTGTGATGATTATAGCATACAGCTGATGAAAACCCCAAATTAACAATCTCAGAAAATTAGAATATTAAATGAAATCAGCAACACAAGGATTGCAAATAGAGCAATATTAGACCTCTGAGAAGTAGAAGCATGCATATGTACTCAGTACCTGGTTTGGGCCCCTTTTGCATCAATTACTGCCTCAGTGCGGCATGGCATGGATGCTATCAGCCTGTGGCACTGCTGAGGTGTTATGGAAGACCAGGATGCTTCAATAGCAGCCTTCAGCTCTTCTGCAATTCTCGGTCCCATGTCTCTCATCTGTCTCTTGGCAATGCCCCATAGATTCTCTATGGGGTTCTGGTCAGGAGAGTTTGCTGGCCAATCAAGCACAGTAATCCCATGGGCACTGAACCAGGTTTTGGTACTTTTGGCAGTGTGGGCAGGTGTCAAAGTCCTGCTGGAAAATGAAGTCAGCATCCCCATAAAGCTCGGCTGCAGAAGGAAGCATGATATGCTCCAAAATCTTCTGGTAGATGGCTGTGTTGACCCTGGACTCAATGAAGCACAGTGGACCAACACCAGCTGATGACATGACTCCCCAAATCAACACAGACTGTGGAAACTTCACACTGGACTTCAAGCATCTGGCATTGTGTGCCTCCCCATTCTTCCTCCAGACTCTGGGGCCTTGGTTTCCAAATGAGATGCAAAAGCTGCTCTCATCAGAAAAGAGATTTGGGAAGTCCATTAGACTTGGTTCGAAAACCAAGGCTCGGTTTCCAATTGGCTGCAGGAGCCACGTTGGACGTTTGGCTTCCAAAAAACGTTCGCAAACCAGAACCCTCACTTCCGGGTTTGCGGCGTTCAGGAGCCAAAACGTCCAAGTACCAAGGCGTTCGACAACCAAGGTACAACTGTATACTGGTAGAGATTGTAGTTCTTCCCATCCTCTGTACAGAGACTATAGCTAAATATGTGTAACATATCCCCTCTAAATGGAAGACATAGGTGTCCAAGGTTAAACTAAAATGAGGGTGATTTCTGGGCCAAGAATTATGGTTTGCATAAGAGGGTTTGTGCCTGTGTGCTGACTTTTTTTGGCTTTTCAGTGCTGGGCTTCATGGAATATTCACACCACATAGTTCTGCATTGTTAGCCGCGCATAGCTCCACAGGCAAACATAATTCTGCCATATGGTGATGAATCAACAGATGCCAAGGGAGTGATGGAATCTTCAGAATTGTCAAATGTGCAATCGCTGTTGTGCCAGACACTCATTCACTCGATATCTGATTGACGTCAGCAAAACTGGGGAAGGCTTAGAAAGCGAGGGGATTTTGGAAACAGGTTAATGATAGTTGAAAATCTAGAGGCCTTGCCTGATTTGGATAATTATCAACCCTTACTTAGGAACTGGTCATTTATGGACATGACCTATCATCATCATCAAGGGCTCTAGGAGTGCAGGAAGGCCTGAAACTGCTGTGTAAATGGTTGGCTGAGTTTTATACCGGTCCCCATTCTGGAGCTACTCTTTGAGGAACCCAATTTATTACAGTGTTTGCTTATTTACTTAAAATATTTGTATCCCAATTTGTTTCTAAGGAGGGATCCCAGAGCAGGTTGCTGCTGGAAAAGCATTAAACATAATAATAATAAAACAAAACAAAAACCATATATATAGATATCTGCACACCTAGATACACACAGAGAGAGTTAAAACAGATGTAAATCATATAAATGCTTGGGTAAATAAATAGGTGTTTAGCTAACGCCAGAAATGTGCAATGTCTGGCACCAGTTTATTTGGGAGGGGAAAGTACAGAAATGATAGACGCTGTCATGGCCAAGCTATCTTTGCACAAATCAGACATCAGTCTCTCCAGAAATTTTCACAATTATTTTCTGACTAATTGATCACCTCTGGAAACTTTTCAATAAAATTAATTGTTTGGGGGGTTCTGTGTTGCTGGATTTTTTAAAGTGATTTTATTTAGATTCTATTTTGCATATTTCCACTGGACTTTTTTTTTTTAGGCTGTTCCATCTACTATTTAATGGGTAATCCTGATTTATTGTGCACTGGTGTTTTGGATTACTTTTATGTTCACTGCTACCAGGGCCATCTGCTAAAAAGCATCAATGCATCACGGTGCCATGTGGTAAGAGAGCTGCAGTTAAAAACATTTTCCCAGGGCAGAACCGTATATGGTGTCTTTTGTGTGTGTGCACAAGAATATTCCTTCTGCAGCTACCTGATACCCCAATGCGACACGTATTCCCAGGACAAAGTATGATTTATAAGGGAGTGGTGGCAAGAGGCAGCTGTTCCATTGTCCATGGCAAATGTGCATAGGAATACACTGAGCTGCTTTATACTGAATCAGACCATTGCTCCATCTAGCTCAGTAATGTCTACACCAACTGGAGCAGCTCTCCAGGGTTTCAGACAGGCAGCCTTTCCCAGCCCTACCTGGAGATACCAGGGATTGAACTTAGGACCTTCTGTGTGCAAAGCAGATGATCTACCACTAAGCTATACCCCTTCTCCCTAAATCCAGAGTTTAATCCAGAAACTATGTGAATCATACAATCATAGAAGAGTTGGAAGGAACCCTAAGGGTCATCTAGTCCAATGCCCTGCAACACAGGAATCTCAGCTACAGCATCCATGACAGATGGACATCCAATCTCTGCTTAAAAACCTCCAAGGAAGGAGAGTCCACAACCTCCCAAGGGAGACCATTCCCCTGTCCTGTCAAACAGATCTTACTGTCAGAAAGTTTTTCTGTATGTTTAGTCAGGATCTCCATTCTCGTAAATTGGGTCCTACCGCCACTGATGTTGAGTTTGTGATCCTCCTTATATATTTGCATTCATTTGATTGATATCCCACCTTCTTCCCAAAGGAGCTCATGGTATCATACATCGTTCTCTCCCTCAATTCATTCCCACAACAACCATCTGAGGTAGGTTAGGGTGAGGGGCAGTGACTGGCCCAAGGCCACCCAGTTGAGCTTCATGGCCAAGCAGGGATATGAACCCTGGTTTCCCAGCTCCTCATCCAGCACTCTAACCATTGCCCCACACTGGTTCTGTACTGAGGTGCAATTATGTATCCAGATCAATATGTCACAGGGACTGTGACCAAGGTCACTAAGTGGGAGTTTTCAGCGTAAGTCTCCTTGTCTGGTACTCTGACCACTGGATCACACTGGCAATAAAGTAGACCAAAGATAAATATGAACAAGCTAAACTCATAAAACAATTGACAATACTGGCATTTGCTTAAAAAACAACATGTGGTGTATCTCAAAGGTTTCATGAGTAGAGATGGGGAGAAATTTGATTCCATCTAATTTGCACTTCCTGAAACAATACGCAAATCGAGAAACAACTATCCTTAAGAATTCACACTCCTCCAAATGTTGTGGTGCAGTTCTCCATCCCAAAAACTGTACAAAAATTTGTATGTTGGGGAAGCATGGGCATAAAAAGGCATACATTCATGAAAATGATATCATTAAAAATCTATTATATTAGGGGAAATTGCTTGCAAAAGCATGGCTATTAAGCAAAACATATAAAAAATGTGTCTATTAGGAGAAAAAGGCACCAAACGGCTGGTGAATTTTCACGAGGATTTTTAAATTATTATTTAAGAGACTGCAAACTGATGTAGAAATGTGGCAAACTGGATGTTCACAAATTCAGCCCGGGTTCCTGCATGTTTCCTCTCTCTTTCCAGTGGGGAACATGCAAGGCAGCATCTCACAAGATTGTCCCCTCAGATCAATCTGTATTCCCCATTTCAGGGCAAGTTGTCCATTAGCTACACAGCATTCCAGAGGTGGTTAAAAGGCTTGCCCATAACACAAAACCTCCTCGCTCCCTAGTGCCTCCAGAAAATATAAATAATGCCTTTATCAGTGTCTCCATCGTTTTCTTGAGGCACAACCATCAGAACTACAAACAAGGCAGCAGTGGCTCTTTAGAAATTAAGTTACATGGTCATCTGAGCTTATCGCCATGAGTCACGCTGATAAACTGAAATGTATGCCATTTGGTGATTTAATCCTGCCGGTGTAACTGTGCTTCACGATCAGGATTGGTGGGTTCTCTGTCTCTCCCACACCCACCCACGATTTCCTAGCTACAAAATTAATTTAAGAAATGAGCCTGGAAGAAATGAAAGTCCCTTTCTTTCTCCAAGGTGGTAGGGGGTTTCAGCTCCGTGTGTTGCTTAGAAGGGTTTTAAAAGAAGAGCGATTCATTTTACGGGACTTCAATCTGTCTCATAAAGGGACAGATTTCTGAATGGGGGCAACAGTTGGCGTACATAAACAGGCCTTTGTCTTCGTAAAATAAAACTGCTGTGGGTCATTCAGGAGCGAGAGCAGCTGGGTTTTCATGGACAAGGCACCCAGCTAGTGACTGGGGCAGGTATGCAGAATGGAGGGGGGTGGAATACAGACAGCCCTCCTTCCGGATAATGATTTCCTTGGTGAAGGGCAGCTGAGCATTCCTGCAACTTCCTTTCCACTGTAAACTGTTGCTCTGTGTGTGGTTAAAAATAAAGAGATTCTTCGTCATTGTAGTTTCCTGAAAGCACCTGAGTGTTTTTGGCTTGGAGGTAAAAAATTAACAGCAAGTTTAATGAGTCACTAAAGAGAGGCTTGGGACGTGGGTGGCACTTTGGGTTAAACCACAGAGCCTAGGACTTGCCGATCAGAAGGTCGGCGGTTCAAATCCCCGCAATGACGGGGTGAGCTCCCGTTGCTCGGTCCCAGCTCCTGCCAACCTAGCAGTTCAAAAGCACATTGAAGTGCAAGTTGATCGGGGGTCCCTTTACCTTTAAACAGAGGCTTAGTGGGGGCACCAAAAAAGTCAGTTTCACATATTCCTCACCTCTTACCAAATCACTGCTGCTCATGCACTCCCTTCAAATCCTTAGCAGTCTCTTTCCATTTGGTTGAATTTAAATGTGCATGATTTGTTATTCGTTAATGTATTATGATGATGATCAGCACCAGTGATATTTTTCTAGAAAAAGAGGTGCCGGAACTCACTATGAACACCTTCCTCGTTCTCATAGAATGGCAGTAGCGCCTACCTGAGAGGTGCTGGAACTGAGTTCCAGAGAGTTCTGACTGGGGACAAAATAGCCCTGATTACCACTTTGCAGAATTTGTTTTCAAAAATCCCCCATTTTCTTTTCATTTTTGTGTAGCATCTACCATTTCCCCTCCACAGTGCCTCAGAACTACCGTATTTTTCTCTCTATAACACTCACATTTTTTCTCCTAAAAAGTAAGGGGAAATGTCTGTGCGTGTTATTGAGCGAATGTGTGGTCCCTGGAGCCGACTGGCCCAAGTGCAGGGGCAAAAATCAGGCAAAAATCAGATCGCGCGCTGCAGAGAGGAGGCTGCTGCTTTCCTGCATTCTGCCTCAGGGTCTTATTGCCCACCCTCTTCTGTTTTTATCGGTTGCTGTGGTTACAAAGCACAGAGCCACATGGATTCTCAGGATTTTTGCATTGGCCTACCCCAAACTCACAGTCAAATCACACGTCTGTGGCCACAGCATGAAGCACCAAAATGATACATCCACTGTTTCATTCAGAATTTTTTTTTCTTGTTTTCCTCCTCTAAAAACTATGTGCGTGTTATGGTCAGGTGCGTGTTATAGAGCGAAAAATACGGTATGTGGAGTGTCGCTAGGGATGCAACATGATAGCCAAGCCGCCATCACTGTTGCTGCCACTACTTCCACCAGCGACCAAAACAAAGCAACTTTAGAAATGAAGAGAAGAGAGGGAAACATGAATCATCACTTCTAATGGTGATCTACGACCCAAGAGAGTTTGGGTGAATTTCCATGCAGAAATTTCCATGAATTTCCATGCAGAAATTCCATGCAGGTGAAAGGCTCAAGCTGCAGGTAAGGAGAATGAGACCCTGGAGAACCACTTTCAGTCAGTGTAGACCAACCTTCCTCAACCTTGGCTTCCTATATTGTTGGACTATGACCTCGATCAACCCCAGCCAGCACGACCAATGGCCTTGGTTGATGGGAGCTTCAGTCTGTTGCAGGAATTTATGTATAGGTGGGGGGGGTTGCCCCTCCAACAGATATCATACACATGCAGCCCACTACCAAAATCAGCACAATCACGTCTGTGACTTTTGTGATTTGTCCACAGAAAACACTTCCTCACAGTTTCTTCCTATCTATTCAAAGGGCCTCTGCTGCACAATACCAAATTTAATAAGTCACTGATAATATCCGCCCTCCCTTCCCCACAGGTGGGTGGGGTTTGCGGCACCAAGTGAGGCTCACCTGGGCGGGTGCCACCCACCTGCCTGAGCTGGCCTTTGACCCGCCCTCGGCCAGGGATGACAATGGACGGCTGGCCGGGGGTGGGCCTAAGGCCAAAAGAAAAGAGGCTGACTCCTGGGCTCAAGCCTCTTTTGCTGTTCTTCCTTCTGGGATCACTGATAAATGTATCTATGTACTGGCTCACAGGGAAAACTTCAGAAATTCATATAGACATGTGAGCTCAGCTACTCAGCAGCCCCTCTGCCTGAGTGATAATTCCTGGCATCCTGATACCTGAGTGCCAGACAGGTAGCCATTCCAGAAATAACAAACCCAGATGAAGACAAAAGGGTGTGATTAACTTGGCTGGGAAACAGGGAAATGTAAATATCTCTTTTGTTACACTTGATGGGTGTTTGGTGGGGGGCAAGGAGAACCATGGGGCAGGGTTCAGGATGCTCAGATTACTGCCATCAGACCTCCCCTTTCATGATGTAACCATGATGTATTAGTGATGTAGTTTGGAGGGTGTAACATGGGGATTAGCAGCTAATAAAAGTTTGGGGGCTCTTTTGTTCGGGGCTTCCATCTTGCTTCATCTTGTTGTGAGTTGGAGTCCTGTCGTGACAGTTTCAATAAAGACCAAACCTACTGGCTGCTGTTTTGCTCCAATTTTCCTGCTTGGTGTCTTTGCTTTTTGTCCAAGGGAGCCCTCGGATTTCTCCGTTAACAAGTCCAATAGCACCTGAAGATCCAAGGTCAGGGAAGGCAGGCTGGATCAACATTATGACACAGCTTAAGGCACCTTGGCAGTGGAAGCTGGTCCATTAGGGCAAATGGGGCAGTGCCCCACTGACCTCAGCAAGTTCCCAGCTGCCTGCTTTCCTGCTTACAAACCCACCAAGGGGTGGCACTGTCTGTCAGCTTCTTCCTCCTTAGGCTCACTGTTGCCCTTGTAGAGCTCAGCAAGGAGGAAGATGTGGACAAACTTAGTACTGCCTGCTCTTGGCTTTGGTGCCACCTACTGTTGACCTCCCTGCTTTCCACCTTGCCAGTCCCAATGGGACGCGCCACCACCGGCAGCTTCCGCTTCCTAATGTAACCCGAAACGGCCCTCAACTTTAATCCAATCCCTGTCTTTAATTCCTTCTCAGAGATGTGTGATTCATTATTAATCCCCCTGCGGCACGAAACAGGAAGGGGCAAGGGGGCTTTAATTAAAGGCAC